CAAAAATCCAAAATATTCCAAAAACCAGAACTTTTTTCAAGGTTAGTTAAAATAGTGACACTTTTGCTTTCTGATGCTTTAATGCACACAAACTTTGTTTCATGCACAAAAGTATTAAAAATATATGGTGTATAAAATTCAGGTTATATGTATAAGGTGTATATGAAACAGGAAGGAATTTTCTGTTCAGACTTGGGTATTATTTCCAAGATATTTCAATATATATTTACATTATATTCACACACACACAATACTGGTTTATCGAAATCCAAAAAAATCCAAAATCCAAAACACCTCTGGTCAAAAGCATTTTGGATAAAGGAGACTCATCGTGTCATGAGTAACTTATCAATTACTTACAAATAGTTACTTATATCTAACTAATTATATATTTACTAACTACTCACTACTTGCTACACAACTACTTGCACCAAATTACTTACATCGAATTTAATGTTCTTTAAGTTACTTGCTAAGTAGCCACTGTCTAGCACAGCTAGTAAATCACATAATAATTACATCAAACTCCTTTCCTCTAACTTTGTTGTTGTTGCGGTCAAACTGACTTTGACCTATAGCAATCCTCTGAATGGGAGACCTCCAAGTCACCCTCTTACCAAAAGCCCTGCTCAGGTCTTGCAAAAGCAGTTGTGGTTAACTGTCCTAGAGTCGACCCTGACTTATGGCAACCCTGTAGATGAGACATCTCCAAGACTCCTTGTCCTCTACCGTTCTGCTTAGGTCTTGTAGATCCATGCCTGTGACCTCCCTAGAATCATAGAATCAACAGGGGCCATCCAGTCCAACCCCATTCTGCCATGCAGGAACTCCCAATCAAAGCATCCCCGACAGATGGCCATCCAGCCTCTGTTTAAAGTCGTCCAAAGAAGAAAACTCCACCAAAATCTGAGAGGGAGTGTGTTCCACTGTCGAACAGCTTGTTCCTCCTAATGTTTTGTTGGAATCCCTTTCCCTGTAGCTTGCATCCATTGCTCCGTTTCCTATTCTCTGGAGCAGCAGAAAACAAGCTTGTTCCCTCCTCAATATGACACCCCTTCAAATATTTAAACACGGCTATCATATCATCTCTCAACCATCTCTTCTCCAGGCTAAACAGACCCAGCTCCCTAAGTCTCTCCTTATAAGGCTTGCGGGTTTCCAAACCCCGACTGAGCCTAGACATGTGGCATGGGGTCTTCCTCTCTTTCTACAGTCGTCCCTCCATTTTCGGGGTCGATCATTGCAGACACATACTATTTGAGAAATATCACATTTCGCTTGCGCAGAAAACAGCATATTTTTTTCTTTGCAGAAAATGTTATTTCTACATTAGAACTCTTCTTTCCTGTACAGAAAATGCTGTAATTGCAGGGTGTATTCTGTGCAAAATTTACATCTGGTTGATTTGCAGAAAAATCACGTTTTCTACGCAGAAAGTAACATTTAAAAAAATAATGAAAGGTTTTCTCTCTGCAAACCAACTGTGTGCGAATTTTGCGCAGAATGATTCCTATACTGCCAACAGGCTTCGAAAATTGCATGGTTTTCAAAGACATTCTCGCAGGAGGAAAGAAATTGTTAATATTACGCACTGCAACCAAAAATCTTTCCTTCCTTCCTAGAAAATTCTGTAAG